TGGATGTTCCATAAGCATTTCAAACTCAACATGTTCAAGATATTATATTTCTTCCCAGCCCTTTCTCCTCCTGAACTTCCCTGTTAATGCAGAGAGCACTACCATCCACTCAGTTACTTAGGCTCATAACTTTGGTGTCAGCCTCAAATCCTTGCCCTCACTCATCCTACATGTCCAATCCATTGCTGAATCTTGTCATTTGTACCTCTATAACATCTCTTGTCTGCATCCCATTTTCTACTCCTCCCCCACTCACATGCAGACACCTTCCTCATTGAGGCTTTAATTGCCTTCACTTGGACTACTACAGTAGTCTTCTGGTTGATCTCAGCCTGAAGTCTCTCTCCATTCCAGTTCATCCTCTACTCAGATGCCAAGGTGGTTGATCTTTCTAAAATATAGGACTGTTCTTTTCTTCCTTCTTCTTCCAAGTTAAGGAGGTTGATATTGGCAAGGAGTAGGGCCAATTCATCCTTCTAGACTGAGGCAAAGGAGGAGAGTATGTCAGTAGATGATGTTGGGGGTGAAATGTGCAATTGAGGAGGAAAGGGAATTCTGATCAATTGAATGACCTGCTACAATTCTAGAGAACTCTTCATGAAACATGCTAATTGACTCTTGATAGAGAGGTGACAGGATACAGACTGAGACTTTTTTGGGGGCATGGCCAATTTGGGAAATTTGTTTTGCTAAACTATACATATTTGTACAAAGAGTTTTGCTTTTATTTATCAGTTAGGGGATGGGAAGGTGGGAGGGAGAGAGGATGAATTTTTGATTGGAAAATAATTTCTGAATAATAAACTATGCAGAGGGAAATACATTTTTAGACATAGTGCAGGGATTTTTAAAATTAACTGTGCATATCTATTTTTTTAAAAGTTTTGTTTTATTTCTCAATGGAGGTGGGATGAGGAAAGAAAAATACTCCTTAATTGAAAAAAAAAGATCCAAAGTGATCCTAAGAATGATCCCTTGATTCACCACCCCCTTGCTGGAGGATAAAGTAGAAAGGACATATCAATTCTAAAGCAGCTAGCCATGCTATCAATATGAAGTAGTTTCATGTTGATAGCAGGGCTAGAAAGGGAAAAGCTTTGGGAGGAAATAGTGTTTTGAATATGTTGAGTTTAAACTGCTTATGGAACTCCAGTTGGATGGCATTCATTTTTCCAGTGTAGTATAAACTGAGGTCAGTTGAAGAGAGAGTTGCAGTGGTGCAGGCGGCCAGAAAAGGAAAGGTTTGGAACAGCTGCCATGAGAAATGGATAGAGTTAGCCAGGGAAGAGTAGGAGAATTGTTGTGCAGAAATAAGGACTCACTGAGAGTGGATGCCCAGAGCAAGTAGCACCTGCAGACAAGCAAATTTAGGGTTATGGAAGGGGAGACTTCCTACCAGTGCTATCCAAAATTGAAATGGGCTCCCTCTGTAGTTAATGAGTTTTTCTGTCAAAAGTAGGTGGACTTCCTCTGGAGTTAATGGATTTCTCCCCTTACTTGAAAGTCTTCAAGCAAAAGCTGGTTGATTGTTTTCTGGGAATGTTGTAGAGGTGATTCATGGTCAACTGCTGTTTGAACTATGTGGCTTCTGAGCTCCCTTCCAATATTGAAGTTTTGTGATTCTGTGATCTTCCTCACTAAGTTCTCTGATTCTCTTAATAGCACCACCCTTGTTCTAGTACCATATGCTTACAATCTTGGAGTTGTCTTTGACTCTTCTTTATCCCTTACCCTACACAACCAGTCGTGTTGACCAGCATGGCAGCCTTTGAAACTGTTATGCTAAATTTATTTTGAGTTTGATAGGGCCTTTTTTCTGATTATAATCTATGCTCTATATTGCTTGATATGTTGGCAATATAAAAAGTGTGAGTATGTGTTGTTTTCATGTGAAAGGCTGTGTTTATTTGAACCATTTTTCCTCCTCGTCCCTGTATACCACCCTTGCCTCTTTCACCTCCTCAATTGGGAAACACCCTTGCTATATAGGATGGATCTCCAATGAGCCATGACCTAACTGGGAGGAGTGATGAGAGCTTGGTATTACCTAGGAGAAAGTTTCAGAGGCTGCCCTTCCAGGGGTTCATTGTTTTCCTTCTGCTTTGGCCTGAAGCTCATAGGAACATAGATCTAGGATTGGACCTTAGAGGCCATCAAATCCAACCCCATCATTTTACAGATGAGGAAATGGAGCCTACAAGAGGTTATCATGGGTTACTTAATGTTTGAAGCAAGACTTGTTCTCAGGTCCTCCTGGCTCTTTGTGCTGTACCTTGCCAAGTAAAACACGTTACCTTCCAACCATCTTATTCAAGGCAAGTACTCTTCCACTGAGCTGAGTAATCTGTGGGCATATGTTGCTTTTCTAGGGAATCTGGTAGCATCTATGTCCCTCTGGTGACAGTGTTCCAGATATATCCTTGGCCCCCTTCCCTTCCCTTCTGAATGTCTCAGTTTAAACTGTAAGCCTTCCTTTTTGTCTGTTAAAACACATCAGATAGAGGTCTGTTTCTTTTAGCATTTAGTGGCTTGTATGTGTCTTTTTAAGACCCCAAAGCAGATGTAGTGGATTGGATTACATGTTGATACTGGTAAAGACACCAGACCTTATGAAAAGTTGAACAGCAGTGAGTGTCTTCTATGTAGTAAATATGATAATTTATAATTAACACTATGTTTAGCCTCCTGAGCAGGAAGATGACATCCAAGAGATGAAAAGTGGTTTCATATTGATAGCGTGGCTAGGTGTTTTGGAATTGATATGTCCTTCCTATTTTATCCTCTAGCAAGGGAGTAAATCGTTCTTTGTATTTTTTTCGTAATTAATGAACATTTTTATTTCCTTACCAACTATGAACAGTTAATTAAAAAAATTCCCACATTGCCTGTCTAAAAATATATCTAATTCTGCATATTTTATTATTATTTAGAAATTATTTTCCAATCAATAAAAATTCATACTCTATCCCTCCCACCTCCCCACCCCCTGCACTGAGAAATAAAAGCAAAACTCGTGTTTCACACACGTATGGTTAAGCAAAACAAATTTCTCATGTTGGCCATGTCCAAAAAAAGTCTCAGTCAGTACTCTATCAATTCTCTAAGGTAGCATGTTTCATAATGAGTCCTCTAGAATCGTGACTGGTCAATCACTGATCATAGTTCCTAAGTCTTTCATAGCAGTTTTTCTTTACAATGTTGTTGTTATTGTATATGTTGTTTTTTCTCACTCTGCATCAGTTCCTTCAAGTCTTCCCAGGTTTCTCTGAAACCTTTCCCTTCATCATTTCTTGCAGTACAATTCTATCACCTTTATATACTTTACCTTCTTTAGCCATTCCCCAATTGCTGGGCACCCCTCATTTTCCAACTTTTGTCACTCCAATAGGAGCTACTGCAAAAAAAAATTCCTTAAAGTTTGTTTTGTTTAGGAGTAATTCTTCCCTTAATCTTCCCTCACTTTTCCCCCACCTCCCTTTTCCCTTTTCCTCTGAATGAAATGTATTTCTGTACCCAACTCATTGTGTGTATATTCTTCCCTCCCTTGGTTCATATGAAATTGAGGTTCGACTGTCAGCCATTCGCCCTACCCCTTTCTTCTTGATTGTATATACTATTACTTGTCCGTCCAGAGTATAAGATGATTTTCCCTCTCCTTTCTCTTCCTTCCTCTTCTCCCCCCTCTCTCCCAATTTATTTCTTTTCTCCTCCCTTTCCATTCTTCTTTTAGGATCATCAAAACATGACAGAACCACCCTCAGGACTTCTGTCTAATCGAGATGCTTTATGACCCCTGATGATGGAGTGACACATGTACCATTTTCACATATTATGAAGTAAACAAATAATCCATTTTTAGTCCCTTATGATTGCTGGCTTATGTTTACCATTTTAGTGTAATTATTTTTGTGTTTGTATTTCAAAGTTTCTATGTATCTCTATTCTTTTCATCAGGAATGCTTGGAACTCCTCCTTTGCATTAAAGGTCCATTTTTTCCTCTCCTATAGGATTATATTGCTGGATAAGTCATGCTTGTTGTAAGCCTGTAGGCTCCAGACTGGACTGGGGCCTGGAATCGAGATCCTAGAGTCAGAGCCATATAATTGATGCTAGCTTCTGAGCTTGCTTCTAGTTCAGTGCACAGCCTAGGGTTTGTGACTACTAGGCCCAGGTCCCCTCCTTAGTCTACCCTAGATCTGTAACCTTGAACTGGAGTGAGTGACAGAACCACCATTTGGCATGTATTATTTTGCTGAGCATGAGGTTGGGCCCCCTTGGATAGGTCTAGTATCTCTTCTTGTCCTATGAAAGAAGAGCCTCAGCTCTCTTTGAGTTTCTGTGTTTGAATGTTCCTTATGGCATACTCCTGGCTGGACCCCATCTGAACCCAGTGTTCGTGGGCCTCTCTGTCTCTCTATGCTGATCTGGAAAATGGTGTACTGGTTTGTTTTTTTTTTTCCTTGGATTTTCCAATCAGAACTCAATCTGGTGCTTTTTTGGAGATCTTTGTGGTCTTGCTTATACTCCATCATCTCTACCTCCTCTAGTTACTTTCTCAACATAATTCCATACTACTCTCCAGAATAGTTGGATGACTTCATATCTCCACCCATAGATCATTGGATCATAGATTGAAAGCTGGAAGGGAAGTTATAGGTCATCCAGTCCCACTATCTCATTTTGCAGATGAGTAAATTAAATCCCAGACAAATTAAGTGACCAGGCGCAGGTCACAATGGTAATGAGTGGAAGAACCAGCATTTTGCCTCATAAGCTCTGACTCCAAATACAACACGCTACCATGCTGTCTTTGCCTAGCCTCTCAAAGGTCGACTACTCTTTTTTTTTTTATTTTCTGGGTAGTAGTATCTATTTCATCAAGTAATTCTTTTAAGGTGCAAAATTTTCATCTTTATTTTGAATATAAAGAAGACAACAAGCACTAGGGAAAAAATAATGTAGATTGCTGATGTCTATCTCTTTCCACATTTTTCTACAGTGGAATGAAACAATTGAGCTTTTTCGTGATAAGATGCCATTACGGAAACATCGAAGTCATTTCAAAAGCTACGAACGTTGCTTTACAGCCTCAGAAGCTGTGGATTGGTTACATGATCTACTCAGGCATAGCCAGAACTTTGGCCCAGAAGTGACTCGCAAACAAACAGTACAGCTGCTAAAAAAGTTCCTGAAAAATCATGTTATTGAAGACATCAAGGGAAGGTGGGGTCAGGAAGATTTTGAGGACAACCGACATCTTTACAGGTACCTTGTCTCCTTTCAAGCCCAATTCTGTGCCTGCTGATCCTCCCAGTGGTATGTGATGAGGCGGTTGTAGGGGTTAGGTGTTAGGAATGAACTGCTTATCTATCTATGTATCTGTCATCTATCTAGCCATCTCTTTATCCACTTATTCATTCATTCATGAATTCATTTATTTATCTACTTATGTGCCAAGAACTATGCTAAACACTGAGAATACAAAGGCAAAAATAAAATAGCCTTGAGAAGCTTACATTCTATTATAATTTCTGAAATAAGAATGTCCATTCTTTTTTGCCTATGCTTTTCCTTCTTTGACTGCATGGCTTTATTTGAGGGTGGAGTGAATTCTACATGTATTACAGTGTTAATTCTACTGTAGTCCTCCTGGGTCCCTCTCTTTTATTGTTGTATTGCATTCTTTTTTTTTTAAATTAGATTTTCTTTTTTATGTGAACTCAGTCATCAATAAACACAACCTTTGCATATACAAAGAACAACAAGAAAGAAGATTTTATTAGAAATTGTGAGCTGCTGTTAGGTATAGTTCGTTTTAAAGAAATATGTATGTTTATGTGTATGTATATATAATATATATAATACATTATGTATATACATTTATGCATATGTACATAATTTATATGTTTGTGTATATATGTATATATATATACACACATAGATATATAAATTTATAGTAGTTAATATTTATGTAACTCTTACTATGTGTCAGGCATTGTGCTAAACACTTACAATTTTCATCTCATTTGATCCTCACAACAACCCTGGGAGTTAAGAGCTATTATGCTCCCTATTATATAGATTAGAAAGCTGAGGCAAATGGGTTAAATGACTTGCCCAGGGTCCCACAGCTAGTAAGTGTCTGAGACTGACTTTGAACTCAGGTCTTCCTGGCTCCAAGCCCAGCATTCTATCCGCTGCATCATATATATTATATTTAATTACATTTTCTTTCTTATGTGAACTTAATTATCAAGAAACACAAATGTTGCATATACAAAAAAAGAAGAAAAAATTTTATTAAAAATGGAACTGCTGTTAGGCACAGTTTTTTTGATATCTAATTTTATTTATTACATATAATAAATAAGTTTTGAAACTGCTCTGTGTTCCCTTCACTTTTTTAAAATAGTTTTTTGCTTATCCAGCATTTTCCTCTCTCCCCCTTAGTAGTTCTCCCTTGTCATAATGTAGTTCAAAAGAAATCAACGTATTGGCCATGTCTGAAAATACATATCTCATTCATGGAAGGGACCTTAGAGGTCTTCCATATGGTTCAGTCCCCTTATTTAAATATGAGAATCTGAGACCCAGAGAGCTTTGTGATTTAAACAAGGTCACACAGGTAGGGAAAGTTGGGATTCAAACTGTCTGACTTCAAATCCAGCACTCTTTCCACTATACTGTACTGACTCACATTCATATACTATGATTTAGACAGCTGTTCCCCAATTGATTGGCACTGATTTTGTTCCAGGTCTTTGCTATTACAAAAAGTGTTGATATGCTGCATACCATGTAGTGGCCTAGGACCAGCTTGTATGGGTTCACAAGAGCTGGTTGTTAAATTTTCATCATGAGCATTTAACACCTCATAAATTGGCAAATGCTGCAAATTAGAGTTTGACTTATTATTTTATTGATTGTCACTCTAGACTTAAGAAAGTGATGGGGAAATGCTAATAAAAAACCTAAATTAAAAAGTGTGTGTTGTGTGTGTATGTGTGTACACATACACACATATATAAAAATAAATAAAAGAGCAGACTATTAAACATTTATAAGAATAAATCTGCCTCTGTGTTCTTTTGCTCTGTCCTCAGAGTTGTTTCCATTTTCATTTCTGGAATTAGTAGTTATTTAAAACATTTTTTCATGTGGTTGTTAATAATCTGTGGTTGTTAATAATAATAATAATTTCTGATTTTGAGAACTAGCTATTCCTATCCTTTGACTACTTATCTGTTAGAGAATAGGTTAAACATTCTTATATATTTAGAACAACTTTTTATATATCTTAGATATTAGACCTTTATTAGAGAATTTTACCATGAAAATTTTTTTCAATTGTTTCCTTTCTAATTGTGTTTGTTTTCCTGTGCAAAAGCTCTTCAGTTTTATGTAATTGAAATTGGTCACCTTATCTTTTGTGATCACCTGTGTTACCTGTTTACATAAGAATTCTTCCCATAGCTATATCTCTATCTCCGTTTCCAAATTAAAAAAAAATGATATGATCTTTTACATTAAGGCTATGCATCCTATGTCCTATAAACTATATACCACATGTATTGTAGTATATAGTGTAAAATATTATTAGTATATTAATATAAATCTAATTTCTTTCCTGTTGCTTTCCAATTTTCCCAGAAGGTTTTGTTAAACAGGGAAGACTCCTTTACTCTGTAGTTAGTATCCTTGGATTTACTGAATACAATGCTGCTATGTTAAAAAATTCCTGGGTTTTGTTTACCTAATCCGTTCCACTGATCAGCTTTTCTGGTTTTCAAACCAGAATCCATTGGTTTTGATGATGACTGCTTTGTAGTACAGTTTGAGATCTGGTACTGCTGCCCTCCCCTTTCCTCCCCTTTATCCCTATCCTTTTTCATGATTTCCCTTGAGATTCTTGACCTTTTATTCCTCCCTTCTGCAGCATTCTTGAAATGCACTGTTTTTTTTGCACGTGGAGAAAACAAACACTCTAGCTTTTTTTTTTGCTTATTGTACATCTTTCATAGAATCTGAAAAAGCGGATAGACTAGCTCAGGAGGGTTGTACTAAGCCCCTTTGAGCAATGCAGAGCTCTGATCTCAGCTGGTGGTTAATTTGGCCTTTGTGAAAAGTACAGGGCCAATATCCAGGAATTTTGCCAATATTTCATTTGTTCCTATTTAGCCCTGACAATGCAAATCTATCTCCCCTTACCCTGTTCTCACAGTCTCCTGTCTTGATGCAAATTAGACAAATTATGTGGTCACTTTTATAATATGAACATTAGCAGGTGCAAAATAAGCCAGGGAAATGGAGTCTTTTTTCTCCTCAAACCTCTTCACTTCCCCCTAGTATTCTTTGGCTGTTCGTAGAGTAATGAGATTGAGAAGCAGATGGAAGGACATACAGGGTGTCCAAAAAATCTTAGTGCACTTCTATGGGTTAGTAGCTTGAAATTGCATTCAGACTTTTGGAACACACTGTATACAGGTTAAAAGGGAAAAAAAGACTAAGCCTTAGAAAAGTGAAGAAAAGAGGTGAATGTGTCTAGAGAAGGGCTGTGAGTGTTAGATCCCACTGGCAGGGGAAAATAGAGATAATGAAGAATGTGGGCAATTTCATACCGGCTTCTTCATGTTACTCATAGAGAAGCTGTAGAAGCTACCATCTTGCTATTGGAGACATGCTGTCCTGGGCAGAACAATCCTGTTAGTTACTTGCCCTGGACTCTGACTTTGGGAGACATTCTTTTACTTAACATAGGATCAAAGATTTAAAGCTAGAAGGACATGTAGGAGAATGGATAGCTAGGTGGCACAATGGATAGAGTGCCAGACCTCAAATCAGGAAGACTCATCTTCCTAAGTTCAAATCTGGCCTCAGACACTAGCTGTGTGACTCTAGGCAAGTCACTTAACCCCACTTGCCTCAGTTTTTGTCATCTGTAAAATGACTTGGAGGAAGAAATAGTATCTTTATCAAGAAAACTTCAAATGCCGTCACAAAGAGTCAGCTATGACTGAAAATAACTGAATAACAACAACATCAGAAATATAGCTGATATAAACTTGCCAAAACCCCCAAATTTGAAAGGAGAATCATTAAAATTGTTACAATATTGATACAATGTTTCTTCTTAAAATTCAACATAACCACCATTTTGTGTTATATATTGCTCTAGTTGATTTTCAAACTTTGTAAACTTTGTATAATCTTTCATCAGCTGCAGCTCAGTGACTAAAAGGATTGCATTTGTAAGTTTAGCTTTAGTTTTACCCAAAGAATGAGGTTCTGGTGCATACCCAGTGTGCCCCACAAGAAAAAGTCTCATGGAGATTTAAAGTGACTTCCTCCACAGTTGTGCAGTATTAGATTTCACTTTCATGTGTTCATGTGAGTTTGTTCCTTATACCTCAGTTCAACTGTCAAGACTTTAAGGACAGCATCATCTGTTTCAGGCCACCAGTTTTGTTTTTCTTCTGTTTCCAGTGCAGAATTTTATATACATTGGCTGTCCTGAATAATATTATTGATTATGAATGCTTAGGGGGCCAAGCAAGGGGACCACCTACACCTATTCAACAGTCCACTAAAATGTCATCCAGAAGCCTTTGCACATGCAATGTGTTATTCAGATGTATCATTCAAGTATGTTATTATTATTCAATGTATTATTCAAAATTCATAAAACCAATAATTGTTAAAGACATTTTTAAATAATTAAACTTTCAGGTTATTCTTTTTGTAGGTTTGTAGCATTTACACTTCTAAGTTATTAAATCTTAAAATAGAACTAAGACTTTTGAGACATGGTAATTATCATAAGGTTGTGGCATCTACTAATCTTCGGTTCAATTTGCTACTTATGTGTGGACAACTTTAAGTGAGTGGTAAATTTTTTAGGGAATTCTTTCTAAGTCCTGTAAAAGTGCATGTTAAATAACTAGTCCTTATCCTTGAGGCTAAAGGTTATGTAACAGAGGAGGTTATGAGCAAAAAAAAAGTATAGAAATATAAAAGGGCAGGTCTAGGACTGTGTGTCAGAATCAGAGAATAGGTATAATTTATTCAGATAATGATTTCTGGAGGAAATGGGTCTCAAGATGTGATTTGAGTGGAGAAAGTTCACATATGGGTGAATTCTAGAGCAAAATTTGTGAATGAATCCTTTAAGAACGTTCCAAACTGATGTTCACGTGTATCTGACATTAGCTGAATGCAAATGTACTACCTAGTAGAGGAATGCATTAAAATAGTTGCTCTCTTCTTCC